TATATGTAAAATTTATTTAAAAAAAAAAAGATCAACTTCAATACTAGAACACTTTACCTAAGATTTATAAAGAGCCCTGGCTTACCTAAGATAAGGCTGTGCCTCCCATCTTAATACATGTAATAATGACTCCAAAGTAGGCCAAACTTCAGCTAAAGCCCAGTACTCTTAATTTAGGGTGAAACTGACTTTGCTGGATGTTTATGATCAAGACTTAAAGTTAAATTAAAAAGGCCAAGAAAACCAATATTTGGCTCTGACCCTCTGAGTCAGTCTGAAATCCAGGGAACAGGGAACTTCTCTAAAGTGCTTTGCAACTCTAGGTCACATAACCTCCTGATCAGGGAGATTAATGAGACCACTGGAGAATGAAAAGCCAATCAGTGTACTTGCTGTGAGTAGGAGGGTCATTGGAGACAGGAGACATCCCTGATGCTTCCAAGGGAAGCCAAATGGTCAAGAAAGACCTGGACCCATCCTAGTGCAAATGGCACTAGCAGAACTAAGAAGCTGTTCTCAAGTTCCCCCATGAGTGACCCCTATGGGAACTTGGCTGACTTTTAACAATAGATAGATACAAAGTCAATTTTGACCAGCTTGATGTTAAACACCTACCCAAAACAGTTAAGCCAAAAAGTCATTCCTAGGAGTAATGAAAGAAGCCAACAGGCTCCATAGGGAATGTTCAGTCAAGTATAGCCTTGGCTCCTCCCCCTCATAGGACTCCTATTAGTCCTCTTTATGTTTCTCCTAATAGGACCGTGTCAATTAAATTGCCTACAGAAATTCCTGCAAGATCAGATACACAAATTCACCAACCAGTCAGTCAATCAATTACTTCTTTAAGACTACCAGCCCCTGATGCCCAAGACAGAGGCCTATGACTCATGACCAACTCCTCTGGCTCCAGAGACTCTACCCCCACCTAAAATCCTCCCTAACCCCCTTCCTAGGAATGAGAACTACTCTCTGGCAGATCCACACTGCTTGTTCTGTCTGCTCTACAATACCCCACAAGGAAGCATCAAACCTAAACTCCCCAGGCATCAGATGAGGAGCCATAGCCAGGCAAAGACTAGTAGATCAACTTCACTCATATGCCTAGGCACAAAAATCTTCGCTACCTACTTACTTTGGTTGATACTTTTTCAGGTTGGATAGATGCCTTCCCTACATCCAGGGAAATTGCTGACACCATTGCCTCCATCCTCAATTGAGGGGATCATTCCCAGGTTCAGACTTCTCACCTCCATCCAGTCAGACAACAGTCCCGCCTTCACTTCTCAGGTTTTTCAACTAGTCTCCAAAGGCCTCAGCATCACTTGGAGGCTCCACATCCCCCACCAACCCCAGTCCTCGGGTAAGGTTGAGAGGCCTAACAGCATTCTCAAGGATCATCTCACTAAACATGCTATTGAACTCAGGCTTTTCTGGCCCAATCTCCTACCGTTGGCCCTCACCTGAATTCAGATATCCCCAAGAGCCCCCTCAGGCTTTAGCCCCTTTGAGCAACTATATGGGTGCCCTTTCTTAACCACCCAAAGCTTTCCAATTATTCCTCCTCCCCTTCTGTCCTACCTGTCCTATCTCACACTTGTATGCAAACTCCTAAGGGAACATGCAGACCAGTGCCTTCCTGCTCCATTCATTGCCTCAATCCCAGCACAACCACAAACCGAATTGGAAACTCTTCAACTGCGTGACTCAGTCTCACTTCAGGAACTGCATTCTCAATCATTGGAACCTCGCTGGACAGAACAACATACAGTCATACTTACTACCCAATGGTGACCAAGCTTTTACACACTCTCCCTGGTACTATGTCTCCTGCCCTAAAATGGCACCTGTTCCAAATGTCCAGTCCTGTGCTTCCACCACGACCACTAAACTCAAAATTTCTCGCCAACTCTCTTCTTCTTTTACTAATCATCAATCTCTCTCAAGTTTCTATCCCAACCACAGATGATGCTTCTACATCCAAGCGACATGGCACCAGGATGACACCACCCACTCTCACTTTATGGGTCAAGGCGATTGCCTTTCCACTGGCTGCATCAGGCTTTAACCCTTAACATTATTGGATTCAACCAAGCCACTTCAATACTTCCTAGAGTCCCTACAATAAGACCAATGACTGATACCAAAGATCTCCTCCACTCAGAAATGGTTTGATGCAGTTGACAACCTATGGCTTCAAGGAACTTTTATGGACTTTACCCCTACCAAAGTAGTTATCTATAGCCACTTAGTGTTATTTTTGGCTGCTCTGGTGTTCTCAGACCTGTCCCCCGAACATTCCTCCACTTCCCCTTCTAGGCTCAATGCTGCCCACCATTAATCAGGAAGTAGCCAGAGGACTTTACGCCACCCCCCATGTCACTTAGAAAAACAAAAAGGGAGGAATGTTAGGTGCAGGACAGGCTGAGTAAGCTGTCTGCAGGGCATGCCAAACAAAGTTAGCTGCAGGATGACCTGGCCTCTCAAACCCTCTGTCTGGTTCTTTATCAACTATTTGCTTCAAGCCCAATCACCCAAGCCCCACTCAAGGCTGAACACTCAACCCCCTGCTCAAGGCTGAACACATAACCCCCCTTGCAGACCCAGAGACCTCATTAGATTCTATTCCAAGTTAGCAAGTCAATTTTATTTGTTTTAGAAAAACAAATTGCCACATAGTGTTCTGGTTAAGCTCTTATTGGAAGTACCTTCCTCTTAGTCATCATCAAAAGCAAGATAGGAGGACATTTAGTAAAGTCAAAAGCTAAAATCCAATAGTTGGCCACTTCTTGTTTCAACCAGATGTTTATGATTTGATTGATTTTTAAAATTTTTTCTTCTGATTGCTCTGATGGCCTTTCCTGGTATTTAATAGTCAGCTCTATTTAAAAGCACTATTTATGTGAAAAGTGGTATTAAGGAAAATTAATATCTGGAACATACTAATAGTACTCAATATGTTTCTCATGATTATATACAGCTTCCTCCCACCATTCTGGGATTGCAAATCATAGAGCTTTCAATGACTTCCATTCCTCACTATATTTCACTCATCAGCTAATGCAGAATTAATTTCAACAAATTTGTATTAAATAAGTAGCAATTTAGACAAAACCAGATATAATTTACACCATGAAATTAAAATAATATATGTGGCAGTTTGCCAAAGAATACTTGGCATATTCAAGGAATAAAATGAAGAAGTTTACCAGAATTGTTGCTTTCCTTTATGTGATAGGGGAGTGTTTATTGTCATGTTGTTTCAAAATGACATTGACAGTTTCCTTATGAAAAAAAAAGTTGTTATTCTGTAACATGGATTCTTTTTTACCCATTTTTCTTGCATACTGAACACAAACACAGTGAGATACTGATCAATTAATTGTATTTTCAACTAATGGTGTAAAATGCATCTCTGACACATTTGCAATTGTTTTCATTTTATATAAAAGCCTCTTGCACATTCAGCATGAGAAGAGGTTGCTCATTAATTTTGGTATCAATACTGGGTTTGGTACATTGAAAAGATATTGAGAAAATTACACCTATAATGATGGAATCTCCCAAATCTTCATTCTCATCTTTCCCGTGGTGCTTCTGCTATTCATATTAGTATGTTAACTTTAATTTGCATTGTCCATACAGTTTCTTAAAACACAAGACACTTAGAATTGAGAAAATCACATATAGCATGTTTATTTCATAAACTGATATAAGATTCAATAAAAGACTTCAGCATTATTAATGTATATTTTATTAAAATTATATTAAATCACAATGTGACACAGACTATTAAAATTTTATATAGCTAAAGATTTTTTAAGAATGAATGATGGGCACCCTAAGCAAGTGTGTAGTTTTGACTGAAAGTTTTGCCACAATCTTTACATTTGTAGGGCTTCTCTCCAGTGTGAGTTCTACTGTGGCACATAAGGCCTACTTTACGACTGAAAGTTTTGCCACATTCTTTACATTTGTAAGGCTTCTCCCCAGTGTGAGTTCTCCTGTGGTAAATAAGGTCTACTTTTTGACTGAAAGCTTTATCACATTCTTTACATTTGTAGGGCTTCTCACCAGTGTGAGTTCTGCTGTGGTAAATAAGGCCTACTTTTTGACTGAAAGCCTTATCACATTCTTTACATTTGTAAGGCTTCTCCCCAGTGTGAGTTCTGCTGTGGCGAATAAGGCCTACTTTTTGACTGAAAGCTTTGCCACAATCTTTACATTTGTAGGGCTTCTCTCCAGTGTGAATTCTGCTGTGGCAAATAAGGTGTGATTTTTGACTGAAAGCTTTGTCACATTCTTTACATTTGTAGGGCTTCTCTCCAGTGTGTGTTCTCCTGTGGCGAATAAGGTGTGATTTTACACTGAAAGTTTTGCCACATTCTTTACATTTGTAGGGCTTCTCTCCAGTATGAGTTCTGCTGTGGCGAATAAGGGGTGATTTTACACTGAAAGCTTTGCCACATTCTTTACATTTGTAGGGCTTCTCCCCAGTGTGACTTCCCCTGTGGTAAATAAGGCCTGCTTTTTGACTGAAAGCTTTGTCACATTCTTTACATTTGTAGGGCTTCTCTCCAGTGTGAGTTCTGCTGTGGTAAATAAGGCCTACTTTATGACTGAAAGCTTTGCCACATTCTTTA